CGACTTTGCTGCATGTATCATATGTGTATTAATCAGAAAGAGGAAGTTTGTCTCAGTTCTGAGAATCAAAACACCTTCATGTATCTCTCAAGAAAGCCAGGTCCTCTTCCACCTGTAGACACACAAAATCCCTGACTGAGTTGAAGGAAGTGATACAGTTAAATGAGAATCAAAACACCTTCAGGTATCTCTAAAATTTCCAGAAGTAACCTTCAACAGATTCTCGAGATGAAGAAACTTTTATGCAAGGGAAACAATCAATCCTGTTATCCGCGGCCCTTTTGTAGTCAAAAACTATTAGCGCAACAAAAGCGGTGATTTGCAGAAAAAAGTCCAGCATAATAGCCAAAGCTGCACATGTGAAGAAGTGTCACAGACTTGCAACTAATGCACACACAGAGCACCAAAATTTTTACAAACCTGCAAACATGGAGAAGATACGACATGCTGGCATTGGAACAAAAGCTCCAACAGCAAAAGCCAAGACCTCTGATAAACTTGCCAACGTTATGGATGGACCTACTTCAACAAGTGCAGAGCTGATCCGTTCCTCTAAAGAAACATCATGAGGCTGTCTCTTTACAGCATGAACCAATATGCACATATTATCTACTCCCACCTGTTAACTTGTTGAAAAACCATCAGAATATCCATCAACAGATAGACCAAATTTTCTACAAGGCTTAAAACGAACTTACAGCCAGGACTAGGAAAGGAATGACTTCCATTATGATCAATGTGGATTTAAATCCAAGGGCACTGAAGAATCCAACAGATCCAAGTACAGAAAGCAAGACAAGCACAACCCCCGAAAGACCGAGCAAGACCTAGAAGTCATGATACTGGTAAGTAAGCTGTGTAAAATGTTGTACATTCACAATACTTTCGTATTCCCAGTCCTCTATATTTGAATGTGAATATTTAACTTCAAAGATTGTATACACTTGTGGAGTCATGCTCGGCTTAAGAAAAAAATAAGGAAGTATCAATAGTTGTGTTAAGGATCAGCCTGACCAATATTCAGGCATTTAAGAACATTTCATAAGATTTCTACTATTCAATATTTTACTTCTTTAAACTCTAAAGGACTATTCACGTGATTAAATACAACTGAAATGCCTATAAAGACGCAACAAACTTGAGAGAAAGTTTAAGACGTACGTACCTTTGATGAAATGTAGAAAGTATAAAACTGTGGAGCATCTCCAAGTGTGACGGAAATATAAACAAACATAACCAGATAGCTTACCTGGTGAAAGAAACAAAAATAGATCACCGGCATGAAAATCTTGGCAGCGAATCTTACCAGAGAAAACTTTGGCAGGAAAACGGTAAACGATAACTCTCAAAGATATATGTTGACGTACAGCTATTGTTATAATATCGGCAGTGCTTTCTCTTTTCAGCTCTTCCTCTATTGAGCTTTCGGACGAAAATGAAAGAGTCAAATTCTTGGATCGCACCATAGGTAGCAGCTCCTCCTGGCGTAAAGGTAAAAAATAATTAAGACAACCATATGAATTTTTCGAAATATTGGAAATATAAAAAATTTAAGCTCTGGAAATGAAAAGGACAATTTTTAAGCATGGAAAACCTTTGCTAATTGAATGAACGATTTTTCCCATGCTACTGCCCTTGCGTTTTCGTTGCTTGAATCACCAATGGCATTGTTAACTGGATATGTTACAACAAACGCAGTTGCCTGAAAATACAGTTTCATTTAAGGTCAGATAAACAACCAACAGGTTTTGAGCAAGCGGTCCCGCAACCATTACCTCCGAATAGTTATTCCCCGAGAACCCTCCCAACACTGCACTAGGATCAACAGGCGCCTGAAAAGCGCTTAAACACGTCTCTGATGAAGTGTAATGCTAGAGGTTGAAGAGAGAGGGTATCAGAAAACCGTATTCAATCACTAACTAAAGGGGGCAGACATCGAACAGTGTAATTACGAAGTGAATCGCTCAAATACCCCATCTTTGACAAAAATCGGCAATGTACTAGATACTGAACAAAAATCAAACCTGGAAACAGTACTCAGCATGCTCAACTCCTCCATATTCATCAAAAGTTCCAGAGTCCATCTTGAAATACTATAAATGTAATTCAGAGAGAGATGTCAGTAGAGAAGGCACTCTGTGTATCTAAACAATGACAAGTTACACAAAACATAGAAAACCGTTGAAAATTATACAAGCTTGTAAATTCTAAACCTGCAGAATACTCTGAGTGGCACAATCATCTCCCAACGGCTTCAAGCAAATGTCAGTCAGAGGGACCTCTGAACCTGAATAATTTCCACGAAGTTTATCGACCTGTGATATTTGGAAGAAAATAAATTAAAAGAAGCCGAACAAAAATAAACGGGTGACGCTGAAATGTAGAACTCCACTTAGACCAGTACTAATTGATAAGAAGCAAAAAAAAATTAAAACCTTCTCTTGTATGTCAAAAAGCAAAAGAATATTTTCCTCTGTCACAATACTAGGCGCCATGCCACTTTTGGAATCAGGAACAGTGGCCAAGATAAGCTGTCATGCCACACAAAGAAAAAGTGAACAAAAGGTTATAGGTAGTGAAAAATAAACTGGAATCTAGATAGATAAAAGCAAAGTATTGAAAACTACCTGCTCGATTCTGTAGAATGGCGCAAGGTGGCTATCAAAGAACTTTTTCTCTTCTGCGGCTTTGCTCCCAGGACCTACCCACAGCTACAAAATGTATAAATTCACATGAACAATCATACCAGTTTTTTGCAGTGGCTTTGCTGCTGAATCCTGTCATAAAGAGTTTGTATAACTATGGTCCTGGCAGAGCTAATACATACCTTTTCTGGCCGTGTTTCCACCTTAAAACGAACGAGACCTACACCGAGCGCAATGACAATAGCCACCGACGTGAAGAGAACAAGAGATGGATTTCTAGCAATCCATGACCCGTATGTTCTGAGGCAAAGAATTGGAAACAATTACAATGTTTTTTTTTTTTTATTGTAGAGATACCTTGTGGGCAAAATATAGATGACGAAAAAAAACCTGGAAATTTACCTGTAAAACTTTGCCATGTATCTCTGAACGGGAGAGAGTTGAGCGTGTCTTTTCACCTAAAAAAGAGAAGTCAAGTGATCAACTAGTTCATTCCTCCAAGCAGAGAATAATCAATCCGCTTTAATCTTCAAGGATAGTTTAGCATATATGTGTGAATATAAATGTATTATATGCTATATATACACACACAGAAGAACTGCAATTTCTAACCAACACATTGATATACCTTGACACCGAGTGTGCTTTCCTTCGGTTCACTACCAATTCCATCTTCTTCCACAGGATACAGTAGTGGCTCTGAGCTACCACCAGGTTGTGTTATACCTCTTCTTCGATTTAAAGTAGCCCACCCCAAGAAGCAAGAAAGCAGCAAGATGTATACAAGTACCATTGATAACTCAATGCATCTAACCTGAACATATAAAACAATAAAATCAAATCCAAGATCATACCAACTCATTAATGTTCTCCAGCAACAATGGGCATTTCATAATCCATACCTTTAGAGGACCAATTCTAATTGAGCAAGAGTCTTCCTCACGGGGCGGCAGGGGTTCCGAACTTGAGCAAGAGGGTGATGAAGGGCAATCACCACAAGAGCATCCAAGTGATGTGTCACCACATGAATAAACAGATAAGTTCATTGGCACCATTGCAGATGACTCAGGGGTAGTTGATTTGAAATTTATTGCATACGGTGAACCAGGGAAGCCAGATGGTGCTTTCTGACCAATAAACGCAAACCACTCTGAAAAAGCAAAACCAAAGATGAAATGTGGAACTTCTGGAACAAGGATAAAACGTGTTTAGAATGCCTTGAAACAGACTGCAGAGCACCTCTGAAATTTTTAGCACCACCACCAACAAAATTTATGGCACGAGTGTTCATCGTTCCAAATTTCACCTCTTTACAAGACTCGTAAAGCCCTTCTCCAAATGTATCAGTTACGTGATAATCTATACCATCCACTGTCAAATTTCCACTCACCTAGAATAAATCCCAAAGCATAACCAATGCTAGTGTTGTTAACCATATTAAGTGATCTCAAGTAACCGTCAAAAGTAGAAGTCATCAGGTGAATGGAAGCTAACCTCAGCAACAGAAGTGACATTGATGAAAAGAGACTGATTTGGAGAGCACGAGAGCTCGCAGAACAGGTTTAAGAAGTTCCTTAAGCATGCAGGACAACCGACAAGAAAAGGGACAGCCTAAAATAGATGGCATCAACGGAGAACTAGTAAATGGCCTGCTCTATTAGAAGGATAAGAAGAGATTATAATAGCAAGAAACAACAGAGAGAGAGAAAATAGAGAAGAAAAAGTTGTCTTGTTGCAGGAATCATTGAGTAACCAAGTAAGTAGGAAGAGAAAACTTTTGTTTCTCTCTTGAAAAATCAGCGAATGCGTAAAAATTTGCTACCAACAGGTTCCCTTTTTCGTAGTGATCTGTCTTTGTTCTAGGAAAGAAAAGTCTCACCTGTTGAACTTGGGACCTCAAAGTGTCAAATTGAGCCTCTGAACAACAGACTTTCCCACTTATGGTTGGACACAGGCTTTGGATTTTGGCAGAAAACAGCTCGTCAGGCTGCAGAGAGCAATATCACATTCACTCAGCCATGCAGAAGCAAAGGAAAAAAAGAATTAAAAGGAAACCTAATGGTTTTAGTCCTTAGGTAAGCAAGTTTCCTAATCTGAAAACATTCACACCTTAATGGAGGGCGAACCATAAGGACAGTTAAGGACTTTTCCATCGCTGCGTTCTCCACAAATGTCATACATTGCGCAGTACTCTTTTGAATGTCTATTAGTGATGAGCACAAGAATTGCAAATTTAGGGAAATGAAGGCAGTAGTGGTGGTAGGCAGAGGTTACTAAGAGATTGAGCAATAAGGGCACGTATCTGGTGCATTTACCTTGTTGCAGAGTGGGGAAGCTCTGCGCTAACTAAAACTGAGTAAGCTATCACCTGCAACAATCACAATCATCCTCTCAGTTCAGCATAAAAAGTGAAAAACTCTTTCAACAAAGGCGAACAAGGATTTTCACAAGTCATCAAGTGCCATTTAAAGCAAAGGTCTTCTAACAAGAAGAAGCAAACAAAGTAGCTGCTGTAATCAGCAAAATAATCTAACGGGAAACGCAGAGAAAAGTCGAATTTCCCAAAATACTAGGCAAGGAGAAGATGATTATGCCTGGAAGAGGAAGAAAGCTGCAACGAGCTTGAGAGGGATCGTCGCCATGTTAATCGCTCTAAGTTTCACGAAGAGATCTAGAGGAAAGAGTGGTAACTACAAGTGAAATAAGGAGTCTTTGGCGTAGTTGGA